TCTTTCCTCTGCTCTATCAGTAGGGATCAGAGATTACAAAGAGAGAAGAGTTTCTCCTCACCTGCCCAAACGGACTGCGCTCAGGAGCGAGACAAAGGTCTTGTCAGTCTGTCTCCGCACTTCAGTCAGCTCCATGTTTATGTGGATGCATTTTCTCCAGCTTTTTGCCTGGCAAATTATTCTCTCGTTAACAAAGAAGGCAAGTTGAAGTATGAGGATAAGTTTAGGGACGGTTTTGTACCTGGAAGCAGAACTTGGTTTCTTCATTATCTTTGCAGACTGGAGGTAGTTGCAAAAAGTCCCCACAGATGATTAGCTGAATTCCTCCAAAAGGCTCATCTCGTTTTCTCACTGCCCTGAAAAGGGGAAAAGAGAGGGTAGGTTTTGAATGCCCTCTAGGACCTGGACATAGTCAGATCTCAGAAGTTTCTTCTTATTCTGACAGTACAATCAAACATATACCACTACAAGAAAGTATTATCCTCAGCTGTGTCAGAAGAGCTCAAATGATTAAGCAATGCTATTACAAGACATTCATTTTTCTTTGCCTGCCCATCCCAGATGTTATTACCAGTCTTGGTTCTTTGGTAGCTGCTATACTGCAACTGCTTCTCTTTGTGAGAAAACTGCCAGGCACAGCATAAAAAGACAGCTGTGTCCTGGACTCAGCTCTATAGACAACGCTTGGCTCCAAAGATGGACACAGCAACCAGAACAGCCACTGCTGGGGAGTGGGGACATGATCAAAAAAAATCTATCTTAAGATAAAGATCTGCCCAGATGCTGGCTATGATTTCATGCTTCCTTCCAGTCCTATGCCAGTGGTTGCCTTGTAACCATTCATATCACCAAAATAAAGAAGCAAATGAGGGAAACTCATTTCTGTTAGGTGTTTGATGAGAAAATCACTCACCTGGCCACTGCCTCCAGCTTGTCAAAGAACTTGCCATCCACCATTGAGATCTCATCAATAATGAGGTGTTGGCAGGCCAGCCAGTGCTGCTGCACCCCAGCCCTCTCAGCCAGCTGGATACACTGTTCCAGCGGTGCCTTCCCAGAGCCGATCCCTGGGAGGAGAGAAAAAAAGCAAAGATTTGGGAGAT